GTGCTCACTTTTGGAGTTTTAACGGGATCGAATCGCTCGTTGGAGCATAATGAGCTCTGATACCATGTTAAGATTTGGGGGTCCATCTTAAAAGGTCAACCTTATTAAGAGGAGTAGCCCAAGATCTTTATTAATTAGTCTGTGTCAATATCATTTATCGATGTGGGATATATATCCCTTAGGCCTTAACATTCTAGTCCAAATCAATCGATCGTCCTTTCAACCAGGCGAGTAATCAATTCATTGGCCATAGAGTGAGTTTTTCCTAACCATAAAAGGGATGGCGGATGACAACCCAACTCTTAAAGACATACAAATATATGTGACTACAAAAGTTTCAAGTGGGATAATTACCTGATTGTTTTCCCATTAGTTACCGAACTTTACAAAATATGATCTCATCAAAATGAGATAATTATGTGAGTATTTTTCCATTAGTTATTGAACTTTACAAAATATAATCTCATCCACTTGATGAGATTATATTTTGTAAAGTTGAGTGACCAACAGGATTTTTTTTTTTTAAATTTTCAGTGATGGACGTAATTACATTTTGTAAAGTTCAGTGATTAACGGAAAAATATTTGAAATTCAATGTCCTCTTTGAAACCTTACGTAGAATTCAGTAACTAATCATGTAATTTATCAAATTTTATATTTTTTTCTTTCTTCGATCTTAGAGATATCAGCAAGCTGCCTTGTTGGTTATATTCGGGATAATAAAGCCATTTTTTTTTTCTAAGTTTGACGATACTGGTGAAAATAAAATTGTGGGGTAGGAGTACATAAAGAAAAAAAGAAAAAAAACTAAAAAAATATAGAGATGGTTAGTTACCTGATTGGTTATTGAACTTTGCGTAAAGTTTTCAAGATGTCACTGAACTTCAAAAGTTTCCTCATTAGTGATGGATAAGATTACAATTTGTAAAGTTCAGTTATTAATGTGAAAACTTTCAAAGGTTTCCGTGATTAATGAAATTACATTTTATAAAGTTCAATAAATAACAAAAATTAAGTTCGGTAATTTTTTTAAAATCTTGTGTAAAGTCCAGTGACCAATCAAATCAAGTAATTATCCCTAGTAGAATAGTTTGAAGTTGGTTAATGTTTCAATAGATACTATTACTAAAGTGGCTAATGAGATCGTTTTACAAACTCACAAATCCTTTGAAGAATCGTTTAAAATGTGACATTCATGGCGGCTAGTAAGGCCAACACGAAGGGTCAATATGCTACATAGTTCACTCGAATTGCAGTCTCCCTCGCACTAGTCACGTGCTATTGGAAGGAGAGTTTTCAACTATTAATAAAAACAAAAGATAGAATCACCAAAAGGGGGTGTAGCTCATATGGTAGAGCGCTCGCTTCGCATGCGAGAGGCACGGGGTTCGATTCCCCGCACCTCCATTCCCCTTTTTAACACAATAAAGAGTTGCGCGTGACAGCATATTTTGACCCACAAAATTGAAACTCCCTCTCTTTGACACCTCGATTATTTTTATTTTATATTCTTTTCCATTTAATTTTGTCGAGCAATTTACTTTTGGACTTTCACAAAGCAGCCAATTAAATCCTTAAGGTTGTGTTTGATACACAACAAATTCCTTGGAAAAGGGAAAAAGTTTCTCATTTTTCAAGAAAAAGCATATTTGATGAGCCAAAAAAGGAAGGGAATTGATTTTCTTGGGGGAGAGGCCACGCGCCTATTTGCCATGTTTTTGGGGAAAATGAATTCTCACCTAATAGGTGGGAATTCATAATATTTAATGCATTTCTTACAAAATAGAAAGAAAATGATAAATAAAAAAAGAAAAAGAGGGAAGCTATTTATAAATTAAAACGATACAATTGTTCATATGTTCTCGAGCTAAATGAACATAATGCTTGATATAGGGGTTGACCGACCACTCACATTGCACGTGGATCCCGACCTGAATTAGATAATGCTGACCTCTCCATGTTTATGTGTTGTATAATCACCTATTTCAAGCATTGTGTTTGTGTAGCAAAACTCTGTTAACATTCTTCTATTTCGTAGACAATCTCCTTCTGTTTCTTTGATATAAATTCCCATCTGTATCTCACTGGAAGTAACGTTGACATGTTTCTGAACAAGTACATGTCGTTCTTGTTCGATGGTGCTTTATTCTTCAGACATGATATCAACATTTGTTTGTAGAATTTTTGGTTTTCTTGGGATCAGTGTCAGAGATTGTTCTGTCATGAATTTGAAAATTCTCTATTTTTTTGGTGTAAGAATGAAAGAATTCTGTAAGTTTTTTATACGATTCATGAGTGCTAATTTGTCTTGCCAAAGATTAGAAATCAGCAGCACAGACAATTAGTGCTAATTTGTCTTGCCAAAGATTAGAAATCAGCAGCACAGACAATTTTAAAGGTGCAAAGATGGCAACATTTGATTAACTGTTTTAACTTTGTTTTTTGTCCAAAATCCAATGAATTGTTGCCATGTGGCATTCTATAAACCCATGTGTACAATTTGTCTGTACGTATAGCATTATTCATATTAACAACAGTGCACAAAATCAAGTCAGATGCAATTGATAGTCTTCATTCCATCTGGAAGACTGATGCTTCAATTGTAACATATGACAGTATAAAAAGTTGCTCCAGAGAGTTTAAATAGAACAAGGAAAATATACACTTATTAGCCAACTCACCATTATGCATGATACTGATCCCCGGAGC